TCACCCCTGGTTGACAGGTCTCAAGTCCCACACAGATGTTGGATTGTTCAGATTAAAAGGACACACCTAAACTTAATTTTCTAATCAGCTACAGATGACTCATGTAGTTCACAGTTTTGCCCACTAGATGGCAAGAGTGTATCAGAAATGTAGCAGGGAAAGGAGTCAGTCAGATAGAGTAAAGCCAGTGTGGGGAATCTCATGTCTTGGAATTTGAATTTCTTTTAAATCATGCCCCACAGAAGGTTTGTTTTCATATAACACATGAATGCAAAGTGTTATGTACGTTGTGTCTGTATTTGTCTATTTTTTATGGTAATAACATGTTGTAAATGTAATCTGGTTAGTGAAAAGTGCCAGGCGCTCTCTTGGACACTAGAGGGAGTATGGACCAGAACTCTAAATATGGTCCTACCACTCCAGCGGCGCTCTGGAATGGTCCAATTTGATTGGACACAAGTACAGGTGCTAATAGAGCCAATTGATGCTTGTTAACTGGTATGAGCTAGATGAAACCGGTCAGAAACAGAACGGGACAACCATTCTGGACCGAGCTTCGACGACAAGAGAAGGTTCTATGCGCTTTTACAAGCTCTTAGCCTGATGAAGACTCATTGAGGAGTCGAAACGTAGCGTTGAGCTTGTTTTTTGTAAATATTTTGTTTCTTTGTTCCAGTTAACTTTTTCACGTTTGTTCAATAAATGGCCAGTTGCCAACATTTTAAGCCGCAGTTTTTCGGTTCTTTCATTTAATTCCACTTGTTTTTTTAGATAGTTAGCTACACAGTTAGTTAGTTTAGCACCTGTTTTTTAACTACCGGACATCTCCGGAATGACGTGGGACTATTTCCCACCGGATGAGATGGAGGAGGAGTCGGGCTGGACACAGGTTCGCTACCGAGGGGGAAGACGACGGGACGTTCAGTGGAACCAGCAGAATAGAGGACGTTTCCAACGACGCCACTCTCCCCAGCAACGACGGCCTCGCTATCAACAGGACCGCAGCTGGCAGTCGCAGTACCCCCAGCGGTACCCCCAGCGGTACCCCCAGAGACGCAAGTCTTACGCGTCAGCCGCCAGGTACGGTCCCTCTTACCCCCAGCGTCCATTCCAACCCTCCAGGAGCCGCAGTAGGGGCTTCAATAAGCGGTACCAGAACCAAGGACCCCAGGGTTGGAACCGACAAAAGAAACGCGCTCGGCGACCCCCACAGGGACAGTACGCGCAGCAGGGCGCACAGACCCGAAACCGGTCAGAGGCGCCACAAAGATCTGATGACCCAGACTTCACAATAAAGGTCAGAACCATGCACAGACTTCTTAAAGCAGCACATCACTTAAAAAATGTGTCGGATAAGGACAATAACCCACCCGGCATTCAAAACATAACCGCGTACTTGGCCACGATCATCAAACCCGCGGCTCCATCTACCAGAACTTCCACATTAATAGATGGTAATGCGAGATCGTGGGCCTACACCACCATGCTGATCCTTAGACAACACTACCAAGATCAGATGGAGTCAGAAAAACGCACTTTGCAAGATCTTGGGGGAAACCTACTGGCTCCATTAGAAATAGCCACTAAATGGGCCAGAAGGAACTTGGGGAGACGTTTCAGACCAGAATCGGTGGAAGAGGTGCAGGTCTTCCTGATGTCGGATGAGAAAAAGGACTCACAAGAACCAGCAACTCCCTCATCGGAAAATGGTGAACCTGATGAACGTACATCTGTTCTTGAGTCCTCCACGCAGACCACGCCCCCTCCGCACTCCCAACAACACAGGGGGCAGAGTGAGGATGAACTTTCCGTTTATGCATCCTCTCCCTACGCTCCCAGGGGCTCCGTGAGATCACAATCTCCTCTTCCGGCCCCCCCACCTTCACCACCACCACCACCACCCCACAGGACAACAGTGGCAACGATGACGGAACCATCCAGAGGGGACTGGTCACCTGCAGCATCCAACGAGGAACGACACAGCAGCCGTCCCCTCTTTCCAGCTGTAGCGGCACCACCCACACCATCACCCCAGGCACGCAGCACTCCACAGACGCCGGCTCTTCCCCAAAGGCAGCGGAAATCATCCAGCCAGGAGGAAACGTACACGCAGAGGACAACAGGATCCTCCCCTTCAGTCGTGATCGAGTCTCCGCCTCGACCCCGCGGCGTGACAGCAGAGGAACAGACCATCATAGACGAATTCCTTGCTTATGAAGCAATGATGCGCTCACACCCACTACCTGCTGCTTCTGCTCCACCACTGCTGGAACCTACGCCTGTCGCCCTCCGTCGTCGGATGGAAAAGAGCACACAGAGGCAACTTTCCTTCCAGCAAACGACTCACCCACCGCAGCCACCGCCACCACCCCCACCGGGCCTGATGAATCACCTTCATCTCAGGTAAATGCCACAACCAGACACACAAACACTGGTAAAAAATCACGAGACTGGTCACTTAACCTGAGAAAAAAATATGTGGTTCTGGGGGACTCGAATGTTGCACACCTACCTGTGACAGGGGACTGTAGCAACAACATCCAGGTGGACAGTTTTCCGGGAGCCAAGTGGAGACATGTGACCAGTCTGTTCCTCAAATCTGGGCAAATGGAGCAGGTAGAGAGACTGGTCCTCTCATTTGGTATCAACAACAGAACACAGAAGGACAAAAGGGCTTTGGTTAAGGAAATGCAAACTGCCCTTAAAGTAGCCAAACTTAAATGTCCTAATGCTGAGATCTTTGTTCCTGTGGTGAACTTTTCTCCCTCCTTATCACACAGGGAGCAAGCCATGCTCACACATCTCAATATTCACATCTCTCAGCTCAACAGGTTCATCCCTGCCCAGGACGCTGCCTTTTTCAGGGTTAAACCAGACAAGGTCCATTGGACCAGATTCACGGCTGCCAGGATGTGGGACCTCTGGTCTGCCTGGTTAAAATAGGCAGCCCTGATAGCCTACCAGGACAGGAAGGGCATAGAAGCATTGTTAATAACAATGTTTGTAATTTGTCCAGATCTTTTGTACTGTCTGACGCACAGCGTTCTTTGTTAAACAGGGGTTTAACCTTCATCCCCTCTCACAGCAAAGCTAAAAACAATGACACAACGCTGCAGATCAGACATGATTTACAAAAATACCATAGGAGAATCAAATTAGCTGTTCATTTTAAGGAAGATGGTACAGCTAAAACAGGTAAACCAAAACCTTTCATGCCAGAATCAGAATGGGCGCCCCCTGCTGGCACTTTGCCGCCAGAAGTTAACTCACTTATTGAGGAGGATCTTGGTTATTTCAACAAAACATTTTACATGAACAAGTCCAAACCTAACTTGAGTATTAACGAAACCAAAGCACTCAAGGAATTAACAGGCAACAAGAACATTATTATCAAGCCGGCTGATAAGGGGAGCTCTATTGTTATCATGGACAGGGCACAATATCTCTGGGAAGGTAAAAGACAACTGCTGGACACCACCTATTACAATAAACTAGACAAACCCATTTATCCAGAGACCATCCCCATGGTGACTAAAATCATTGACTCTTTGTATGAGAAAAGGTTTATTAATGCAAAACAGCGCAGATATCTTAAAGGCTCTTCGGAACCAAGAGCCAGAAGGTTCTATCTGTTACCGAAGATCCACAAGGAACCAGCAAAATGGAGTAAACCCCATGAGATCCCACCGGGTAGACCCATCGTGTCTGACTGCAACAGTGAAACATATCAAACAGCAGAATTCATCGATCACTATTTAAATCCCCTATCAATAACACATGACAGTTACATCAAGGACAAGTATGACTTTATAAACAAGATGAAACAAATCATCCTGCCAGACAACTCCATTCTGTTCACCATGGATATAGACAGCTTATATACAAACATTGACATAACCGAAGGCATTAATGCAGTCAAACAAATTCTCCTTAAACACCCCAACAGCAGAAGGCCAGACAAGGAGCTACTCCAGCTATTACAAATTAATCTGAGAAGGAATGATTTTGAATTTGATGGCCAATTCTACCTGCAAATTAAGGGAACAGCGATGGGGAAGAAATTTGCTCCAGCGTATGCAAATATCTTCATGGCACAATGGGAGACGGAGGCATTAAACAAATGTGTAAAGAAACCACTTTATTATTACAGATATCTAGATGACATCTGGGGGGTCTGGACTCACTCGGAGGAAGACTTTCAACTATTTCTAAACACGCTAAACACACATAACCCATCCATAAAGCTGAAATTGTCCACCAATGCTAAATCAGTCGATTTTTTAGACACCACAACCTTTAAAGGCCCAAATTTCAGCTCCACACACAAACTTGACATAAAGGTTTATTTTAAACCTACGGACACACACGCGTTGCTTTTTAAAACCAGTTACCATCCAAAGCACACATATGCGGGTCTTATTAAATCCCAGCTACTTCGCTTCCACAGAATCTGCACTCAGGAAAGCGACTTCAAGGAAGCCACTCGGATACTGTTTTCAGCACTATCCTTAAGAGGATATTCTAGAGCATTTCTGAACACATGTAAAGCTTCCTTCTTGGAGTCCAGACCCAAGGACACATCACCATTATTGCCTTTGGTCACCACTTATTCTCCCTCGGCAGGAAAACTAATTCATAAAATCAAACAAAACTTTTCTAAATTCCAATCAGAGACTAACTTACTGCAAAATCACAGGGTAATTGCGGCCTACAGACAGAACCAAAACCTGAAAGATTTTCTGGTTCAGGCCAAGCTGAGACCCCTACAACAACCTAAGGTCAAAGTGATTTTTTTAACCAACTGCGCTGGATACAAAACAGGTTTTACAAAACCGTTTATCCCATCACACAAGCAGGTAACCCTAAAACCAAAAACTGTGTGTATTTAATTCAGTGCAAAATCTGTAAAATGAGATTTGTGGGAGAAACAGGAAATAGCATTTTAACACGCTTCACACAACACAGACACAACATTACAAAAAGCCATAACACACAGCGACCAGTAGTCAAACACTTTATTGAACATGGCTAGCAAGCCCTCACAGCCACGATCCTACAGTCAGATCCAAACTGGTCCACAAAACAATGGAAAAGAGCTGAACGGCTCTGGTTCTACAGATTGGACACACTTGTTCCCACAGGTTTGAATGAGGGATAGATCTGCACCGGTGGACTAAGTGCAGGAGAGTCTGTGCACACAGACAAGCACAGTAAACAACCACAATTACCTTTTAGTCTCTCCCCAATAAAAGTCAGGCCCTTGGCCTGCAAAATAAGGTTACAAGTAAATTAAAAAATACATAAAACATCATCCTGTTGACACATTAAATGATGGAAACCATTCCAAAAAGGATATTGTGTAAACAGGCAAAAGAAAGGGGGGTTGAATACCCCTAACTAAGATTGAAATTCCCCTAGTCAAATCTAGATTTTTATTAATGTTTGGGCTTAAAGAAAACTTTGTGTTAAGTTTGCCATATAATTCTCCTGGTTAGGGTTAGGATTTTATGTTTGGGTTGGGACTTAAAAAGAAATTAAGTTGAGTGTAACATATAATTCTCCTTGTTAAGGTTAGGATTTAGTTTGGGTTGGGACGTAAAAAGAAATTTAAGTTGAGTGTAACAGGGTTAGGTCTTTCTAAGGAGAGAAGGGTCTCCTGAATGGAGACCCTTTGTGCACTGGCACTCCTGGCGTTACAAAAATCCGCAGTTCTCCACACCTTCATCTCCTCACGCTTAGATTACTGTAACTCTCTTTTCACGTGTCTGAGCAGAACCTCCCTGAACCGTCTACAGGTGGTTCAGAACGCCTGTGCTCGGCTTCTGACCAAGTCCTCCAAACACACCCACATCACCCCGCTTCTCCTCCAGCTTCACTGGCTGCCAGTCAACTTCAGGGTTCATTTCCATATCCTAGTTCTGGTCTATAGGGCCTTACATGGACAAGCACCATCTTACATTGGTGATCTTCTCAGTCCCTAAACATACTTTGTGATTTTTATGTAACAAGGGGCTAGAAAACCTTTCTTCATACATAAGTTTGTAGTAAAATGTTGAAAAATAGCAATTGTAATGTCCAGCAATGGTCAGTTTTTAGGTACTGTTTGACCATCCAACATTTGGTCAAAAAGGAGACACGAGACTGCACGTGTTTCCTTTAAATTAGCCTGCCATCATGCCACCAGCTGGAGCTCAGAGCCTGCAGCTCTGACAGAGATAATGAAATCATAACAATAACATTCTCTCAAGGTCCCTCAAAGAGCAGCCATTTATCTAAGATTACTTGCTTCACAGAAGAAAGAAGATTTTAAAATTAAATATGAATTTCTAAAACTTACAAGCTAGATATTCAGTAAATAAATGTTGTTTATTGCTACTTATAATAATTATAAAATAATGACATGTTTCATTAATCTGTGCTCAATGATTATGTTTCAGCATGTTTACTTGACAAGGTCATAACCATATTGCACTCACACAAGAGCATCTGGTGTCAAAGAGGGCGTGTGTTTCTGAGATTCTTGGTCATATCCCTCTAACTTGTCAGCCTCTGGTTGGCTACACAATCATAACATGAGAACATTAAAACCAGATTACTGGGGTTTTCCCTCAGTTCTAGAGAAGCTTCAGACCGGCCACCTGAAGCACACCTCTTTAACCACCAAAGCTTTTGACACGTCGTCAAAACCTTTTTGCACCTGCGAAGCTGATAAAGCAAACAGTCCCTGCAGAATAAGCTGATATTGTTTAGACTCCTTAAGAGTCCCAGACGCGTGGTTCCATCAGTCTGTCATGACCCGAGACATCTCTGGACTGAAGGGTCGGTGCCATGGTATTCTACAGCCCTCCGGTGCCAACCAAGAGGGTCTCTGAAAACGGACAATGTAGACACACAGATAGCGTCTGATGTGGCTTTTGATAATAATCAACCTCATAGCTTAACGCAAACCAAATTCTTTCACATCCAGAACGCAGCTCTCCGATATACAGAGGCTCTGACTAACATCGCATTCACTCATAGCTTCCATACATCACATTTAGTTCCATCCTCTCACAGTAAATGTTAGTTTACAAACAATTAAAACATGACAGGTTGGTTAAGTAAATTCTTACTTTTATAAACCTGATTGTTTTCTGAATCAAAATGAAGTGTGTACAATCCCCTAATAAATAACGAATACTAGACTCTTCTGATTAAAGCACAATAAAGAGCAGGCGGGGTGATATTCCATATTTAGATAGAGTATCACAGCTTATTGGTCATAAGTAGAGGTAATATATATATTGAGCTCTTAAAGCACTCAGTTTACCAAACCCTACACAATGTATGTCAAAATGACTCAAATGCAGAGTTTTCTGTTAATCCACCTTTATGTTCAAGCCCCTTTCAATGGATTGATGTATTTTTATTAAAAAAACTAAATTGAAAAGATTTACTTTTACAACAAATATATTCTTTTAGACTTGAGTTTCATTACAGTAACATGCAGGTTTGGTTAGACAGTCTGTCACTTCACACACAAGTACGCAAACGTTAGCTTCGTGTTGTGATTTGTCTCCACCAGCTGAGATGTGTTCGAGGCTGAGGACAGAAACGCTTCGGGTTAAACTGGGCCCGAGTCTCAGATGGGAAATGTAACCAGGTAAAATTTAAGTTCTGGGTTTTACTGCTTGTTTGTGTTTTTAATAAAAGTGGCATTTCGCTCCAGAGTTATGGTCCTTCTACTCGACATCTGATTCAGTTCACTCATGTCCACCCCCGAATCCAAACTGGTGTCTCGGCTGTCGATGGGTCTCCGTCTCCTCTGCTGCTCCGAGACGGCGTAACGGATCTCTGCTGCAGGTTTTCCTTCCAGAGAGACAAACCAGGCTCGAGGGGGCTGAAGAGATTTCTGCATTTCTGATAAACCTGAGAAGGTGTGGACCGAGTGTCGGTTCCCTCTCATTTTGTTTAATGTCCCCGGTACTGATGCTGACTCTGGAAGACTGAACGGACCCCTGGATGTACCGTTTCCTGCCTGAGAGTCATCGGACCCTCCAGGCAGGTTCTGGGTGTCTACCCCCTGGATCTGGATGGTAGATGGAGCTCCTAGAACATTCTGAGTATAGTTTGCCTTCCTTGGCGCCTCTGCAGCAGCTCCATTTGACATGCCAACTCGTGGCAGAGTGGCTGACCTGCTCCAGTTGGTCAGAACCGATTCCTCCTCCAGATGGAAGAACGCTGAAGCTGGGAGGATAGTGACAGGTTGGTTGTAGAAAAACAAACTGTCTGCAGGCTTGGTTTTCTCTGAAGTCACTTCCTTCAGGTCCAGTGAAGCAGCCACGGTGCCAGCGTTCGCTATGACATCACTGTGCTGGTCCTCCTCCTGTTTGGTCACTGAGTGGTTCTGGTTTCCTGGAGATGTTCCAGAAACGCCGTCATGACTCGTGGAGGTGGCTTGGTCTGTTTTTATCGCTGCCAGAGTTTTCCAAGCTTGATTTTCTCTTGACTGCTTTCTATCAATAAAAGCATCAATAACAACCCGTCAAGTTATTTTTTAAATAATACTGTTTTTATTTTATTGTTTTCTTCTTTCATCAAAGCAATCCACATTACAATCAGCCTAAAGAGCGATTATGTTACGTAGTTCCCTCATGTTATGAAAGGGTTCATCAAATGAAGGTTGGTGATTTATCATCTTAAAGATTCATCTGATGTGACGTGAACTTTTAGGCTGAGACATTCTGTTAACATCATTGCATTGCAGCTAGCTAGCTTGTAATCCGTTAAAGTGCTCTTGACAATTCTAGAGTATTTCTGAAAGTATTTTTTAAAGTGTTTCTTTGGGTTTTGAGGGAAGAATACTTTTCTTTAGATCTGAAAGGATCTTAAGTATTAGGTGGAAGCTTCTTAAAATGACACTAAAAAAATGTTATCTGGGCAAAAAATTCAGGCTTTTGTATTATTCTGAACCATAATTTTATAGAATGATTGCACAAACGGGCTTACCTGCTATAACACAACAGCCAGGTCAATAGGAAGACAACAACAAGAAGAGTTCCTCCAAGGAAAACCGTCAGGAAGAATAAATGATGTGAAAAAAGGTCAACGAGGGTGGGAAGTCCAAGGGAACCTGCAGAAGATGATTAAAGAAAATGTGTGTAAACACTCACAGCATTTCAACGCATTTGTGAGGTGACAACCTGCCTCTGGGGGAGGAAAAAGGTGCAGCGATCCAGTCGCCCAGGTGAGGAGCGGTGAACACCCACGTGAGTCTTCCATCCACTGAGATAAGCTTCCCAAGTCCTTTCCTCATCCACCCTCCTATATGAGAAAACACAACAAAGATGCAGCTGAGGAATATTTCTGTCAGCATCACAGGATGGATGACAGATTAATTATTCTGACTGGATCCAGGAAATCAACAAAAAAAAGTCAAATCATTAATCATCAATCTTTTTTTTATTTTCCCTGGGATTTTATTTATTTATTTGTTTATTTATTTAAACATTAAAACATGACAAGGTCCACAATAAAGCTGAAACTCCCCCAACTGCTCGTGGAAATATTTCCACTTAAAAACAAGTACATATCAAAGTAAATACAATAAAAATAAATCCCTTATTTGCTAAAAAATATTAAAAAGATTCATTTAAACAAACATTTTTAAACCAAAGTTTTCCTCCTGATGCGATGCTGATTTATGGAAGCCGGTATGAAATGAGCCCAGTTCTGATTGGTTTGTCCCTGATTTACCGACCAACGGTTCTGTTGAAGAACCACGCTGGAACAGCATCGGAAATCTGAAGGCCACGGTTCTCTGGAACGCTGAGGCTCATCTGGATTGGTCCGGTCACGTGAAGCTTCGTGTTTCCAGAGAAAAGCTGCACACTGACAGCCGCCACTGGGTTCAACTCCAAGCTCACAAAACCTGGAGATAAAAAGTAACCTTCAGTTTTTAAGGAACATTTTTACATTCAACAGTCTGGAGCGATGCAGGCGTTGTTCCGGTCTGTCTCAATTTACCGGTTAATCTACATTCCTACCCTCATCTATGTCAAGCCCCCACAATGCCGCTCAGAAAATGGTCCCATCCCGGAAGTAAGAAAAATTGCAGTTCCACCCTCATCCGCTGGGGGCTGGTGCCAGAAGCGAGCAAATCCTCATTGACTCCCATGTTAAAAATGCCGATTTCACAGCAGAAATAAACATGTTTACAGCCTGGTGCCAAAACATGTTTTTTGTCTAAATTATCTAGTTTATACTCATGACAACTCTGAGGGGGGTGAATTTTTTTCTCACTCTTCTGTTTAAAGAGCAAGTAACGTCTAAATTAACTTTTTTTTGCTGATGAACTGTATAAATGAGTGTCTAATAGTGTTTTAAATGTGTGTATTCATTATTTTAGCATTTTGGTGCATTTTCTTAAAAAATTAAAAATTCTGCCTAAATACCACAGTATAGCTCCACCTTCAGCTTAAAACATAGAATTTGACTCATTTTGAATAAATTTTAGCCAATGGCTAAAGAGTAAGATACTACGTAATCCAGTAGAGTACTACGTAGCAGCTCTGTGTCAACGTTATAAAAGCATCGGGAGTCTCGGCCACGCCTTGTGGCGAGTTGGGAGTTGGATTTGCATGAGAGTGTAGGAGGCTAGCCGTAGTTCAGCATTAGCATATAGCATTAGCATATCCTAGTCTTTAGCATAGCTTTTAGTGTTATACATACTTATTTAGTGTTAGCTTGGCTGTTGGATATTGTAGTTTAGTTACTGTTTGGCTGTTAGTGTAATTAGGAAAGTAGTTCGGGTTTAGTGCTCCATATCGTGTTAGCATGGTGAGATGGTGTAGTGTAGTATGGTTGCGGAGCTCTGTCGGGTTGCACTCCTTTCCGCTGGACTTAGAAATTAGGCGCCAGTGGTTGCGTGTCTGGAAAAGATTCAGCTCCCGCCTGGTGCTGTAGTTTGCAACCAGCATTTTACCCGCGATTCTGCACGTCTCCGTTCCAAGAGGGAGGCTGTGCCCACCGTGGCTCTTCCGCGATTTAGATGCAGCCCACCGACTCTGCTCCCCCACCATGACGGGCTACAGTCTGAGGTGAGTAAGCTAAATAAAAGTTTTAACATCTTCTAAAGACAATTTCCTACCTAAATGCAAAGTTTGAGAGACGTGGTTCACTCCATTTAGCTAATATCAGTCTGCACTGCCTTCGGGCTATTTTGTCAAGTTCACAAAATGTGGAACGATGTAAGGTTAGAATCAGCGGCGAATCGGAACATATCTCGAAGCCCTGGCCGACAAAACGGTCCACATGACTGTCAGGCTCAGAGAAAATTCGGGTTGTTTTTGTGTCAGTCGGTAATTCAGCAACAGTGACTCTAAACTGACGCAGCACTAGTTGACAGACAGCATTACAGCGTCAAATCTAGCACAGCGTGACCCGGTTCCGTGAGGAATTCTGTTCAGGAGGTCGCATTTCAGGGTCTCCACATCATATGTGACTGACTTTTACTTTATAATAACATCACACACTAGGAATGTTATAAAGCGCCTATATGGGACAGTTTCTTTTGTATTTTATCTGACTTTATAAACATCAATGTGCTTCTATTTTTTTCAGGCTAAATCTACCCAAGACACTGGCTGTCAGACTGATTTAGTAATCTGCAAGAATGCACTTGTCCAGGCTGACGTGGTGTTACCCGTAGCAAAGGTGAATTATTTTTAATAATCTTCTATGTAAACATTTTATTACCTTCTAGTTTTAATTTGTTTTACAGATTGTTACACGTGATTTTATGCTCTTTTAAACGTTCATAAATGTGCTGCTTCTTTGTTTTTATAGAGCTCACAGCCTCAGTGTCTTGTGACACAGGGACCATGACAGAAATTCATCTTCCAGAAGGTCCCAGAGCATCCACACCTCCTGAAAAGACCACGGTGTGAGGTGTCTGCTGTTGATTCCAGCTTCCACCTCAGTGACAGTGCAAGCTCAGTGAACTGTTCAAGGTAAAAAAAAATTAAAACATTTCTGAATTTTTAAGATATTAACAATTAAATAAGTATGTGATTACATCATGAAGGAGGCTACTGATTCTGGCCCTGTGACACTTGGTGGTCACCACCAGGTGGTGACGTGTGAGCTGATTCACCTGGTAAATAACTTTTAAATTAAATATTTTGTTTTTGCTATCAAAAGTAAATTAACTAATAACCTGCATTACTGCAGGACACTCAGCAAAATATGGACTCTACACCATGAGGCAGGCACACGTTAATAACTCTATAAGAGCACATAAGGTAAGCAACACCACATATTATTTTTATTACTGTACACTGTCCTGGATTTGTTTTCTTTCTGCATCTCATCATTAGCCTGGCTGTTCACCTGATAACTCCTGTCATCTGGTTATGACAGCATGAGGATGTCCTCACACACCTGTAACCTATCAGCTCATCTGGCAGAATAGAGAGAGAAGAGACAACACCACATCTCCTGTTCCTGGAAAGCCTTCAGCCATCCTTCGATGACTGAGAACCTCCATCAGCTCTGTCTCCTGTCTGCCTACAATTATTATAATAAATATTGTGTTTGACAAGTTTTTTGTGCTGCCAAATATCTCATTTTGATTCCAGTTTTGATATTTTAATGGATATTTATAAATTACATTAATTGAATTATCACATTGTCGCATGTTTAACTAGCTCTATTGTGATGAACTAAACTAGCACCTCACTGTTAAAAGCTCGTTTTAATTTCAAGCATGTTTAAGTATTTATGGACATGAACAAAAACAGGAAATATATAAATTGAGATTTATTTAATTAATATAACAAATAAGGGGGAAAGAGTCATTGAAAGGCACATTCTTCTGGAAGTTCCTGATCCCGACGACATCAGCAGGAGACCAGCTGCAGACACCAGAGGATCACCTGCAACCAAGAGCAGCTAGTATCAGTAAATAAATAATGAAATCAGGGCAGTTTTAATGGGCTGAACACATTACAGAATAATTTTCTCATGGTATATTTTCATAACTTTATGCAGCAGACTAGCTTGAGCCCAGATCTCCTGGAGAGCTGCTATCCAGCACGTTTCAGTGGATTTTCCTGCTTTAACAGGTTAGATAAGCTGTTAAGCAGCTCAGCTGTTTGTTGCTGATTAAAACCAGGTGTGTTGATGCAGATAAATCTCTAAAACATGCTGAATACTAGCTTTTTAGGGCCATGGAGACAAACCCTGCAGCTAATCCAATGCTATGGCTAACGGCTACTTACGTTCAGAGATGGGTCTGTTGGGTCGGTTCCAGTAATTTCAGGCAACTCACAAGCTCAAAACAATAAGGCTCATGTCCGGTTGTCTCCTCCAAATAGACTTGGTCCCTTTCTTCTCGAGTGTCTGGGTAAGGAGGGGGAGAAACGTCCTCCACTTCTAATGACTGCTCAGAGTGAAGGGAGCTAGCTTCGTCTAGTTAGCCGTCTCTTCGTCACTGCCACGGCTCCGCCCTCTCGGTCCTCCAGGCAACGCCTACTAATGTTGCAGTTTTCAAAATTGATACGTGGGTGGGGTAAGACTCTGAGGCACACTTGACATGCACTTTAAGTGTATTGAAAGCCTAAAATTCTGTATAATTAATGAGCATCCGACAGACGTGACCGCCGCCTCAGACCCACGTGACCACATAGCTAGCTCCGTGGAAAGGCCTCAGTACAGCCTCGGTCTGGCTTGGAAACTGCTCCGGCATTTTGAGTCTCTGTGTTTGTGTATTCTTCTTTGGATATTATTGGTGCAATTGTTGGACAAAATGACTTGCAGTGGTATTAATTGCACTAATAGAGCGTCCAAGGAGTCTCCACTTCATTTTTTTCGGTAAGTTAAAATCTATATTCGTATTTTATGTCACTGCCACCTTTAAACTAGCTGAGTTTACCGAAGTAGCTAGCTAACTATCAGTTTAACATGTAGCATGTACTGTTTAACCATGAAATTTAAATGTAAAATACGGTAAAATAATTAATAGGGCATATTTAGATGGGTAATAGGGTAAAACCCAGTGCATTTAAGATAAAAATGGGTTGAAATATGATGGAGCGCTAAGAGGGAGACTTCTGTGTCCATTCTTCCATCCGGTAATCCCCAGCGGTCAGGCCGGGCAGCCTGACCGATCCGGCGCCTACTTGCTGCGCCTAGCTGCTGCGCGGTCTGACCGCTCGTGGAGTTTTTCATGTCTGACTTTAACCGCATCTAATACTGTATTACGGCGTGAGCGCAACAGCGACAACTTAATATCGACGTGTAAGCAGCCTGAGTGGTAGGGTGTTTTCATCTGAACCCTCCAGCAGGCTATGCTGCACTATTGACGTGTTAGCGCGCGGCGCTAACAACTTAGCAACGTGACATGTCTCTGAGAAAGCGTAAAACACGGACGCTTCTTCTGAAGCGGAAAATAACACTTCTTCTTAAGCAGAGCAGGATGTCGCCTCGGCTCGTTCACGGCCGAGCCGGACTGAGCTCGATAACATTGACCAAGCACAGCCACTGGGCCGTTGTAGCTGCCACCAGGCCTGCTGAAGGAACTCCAGCGGGTTTCATCAGACTCGTAAAGTTTCTTGTTTTTGCTGGGGATTTCTGTATTTTACCGCTCCCTCCTGCAGTCTTCCCCTATTAAAATTTAAAATGTGTAACTTTATGTATTGTGATGAATGACTAATATTCATGTTAAACTGAAACGTTAGGCATTTAGGGGGAAAAAACAAAATAATAAACATTATACAGATGTCAAATAAATCAAACTGTAATTAAACTATATATTTTCAAAGTCATATAGACAGCATGATGGTTTGTGTGATCCGCGCGGTTTCACTTACACCCCTTTAATGATCAGGCTGTTTTTTATTATTTTTATCAGCTGATAGCAGTTAAAATTATGGTAAAAAATAATTTTATCTGTTTTTGATAACTTAATGCCCAGGAAGAGCATCTTCCTGGGCATTAAATATAACCCAAATGTTTTATTATGAGCAGATCTGATGAAGGTTTAGACAAGCAGTCTGCAAAGTAAAACTTGTTTAGAGTCCAAACTCTTACTAAAGCTTTTGAAAAGAAAAAATGGTTGAATTTTGAGAAATATCCACAACAGGGGAGCGAGACCTCTGAAAAATGTATATTTTCTCTGAATTCATAGAATAATGTGAAGATTCTGGGAAAAGTTGGGATTCTGAGATTAAAACGTAAATCTTTCTAATCATAATTCTGGCAGTTTTTGTGTCCTTCTGCTGTGGAAAGTCGTGCAACATGAAGATACTGAGAAGATGCTTACAACCTGTATTTTTATTCCATCCATAAATAAAATCATGAGCTATTTTTTTAATCCAAATTTGATCCAAAGGGCCATCGTTGGTTCCAGACCCGTTCTAGAACATTCCTCTAATCTTAAAGTCATCATCAGTTTCTTCCTTTTAACAAATATTTATTTGTTCAAATTTTTAATATTTATAACTGGAATATTTGTTCCTCCCTCTCCCACTGCAGTTAGTCCTGTCCTGCAACCCTGTTTTTGCAGCTTAGTGAAGCCAACCATCACTAACCTGGGGGTGGTTTTGGACCCAGAGATGCGGATGGACTCCCACATTAGCCAGGTGGTTAGATCCTGCTTTTCCCGGCTTCGCCAGCTACCAAAGATGAAGTCCATCCTGAAAGACGTGTCATATTTTCTCCCCAAGCCGGACCTGACCGTCATGTATCGGTCCAAAATAGTGTGATGATATTGTGTTTTTGTACATAACAGACTTTTTAACAGACAAATTTGTCGCATTCTCCTACACCTCTTCACGGGCTCGCCACAGTAAATATTCTATTTGGCAAGAGATAAACTTTATTGTATTTATCCTAGTGAATCTATAATTAAACGGGTAAACTAGTAGTAGCACATCCAACATCAAAGAAAGTAAAATGTTATTATCAGGAGAGGGAGAATGTTTAAGTGGTTAGCAGCAGTGTGCTAGCCGATGGCCCCCTCCATGAGGCCACCACAGCTCAGCAGAACATCATTGTAGCTTCTTCTGGGGAGAAAAACACTTAGAGAGAAAATAAAGTTAACAGCTGAAATAGCAGGAAATAATACAGTTAAAGAGCAGATTGTAGAAGAAAGAAACCCCTGGGTTAAACTGGTCTGTCTACTGCATAATGCTGAACTCTAACATGTGTCCTCAGGGAAGGACCTGATTGGTGTCCAGAACCTGCTGAAGAAGCACCAGGCTCTGCAGGCTGAGATCACAGGTCATGAACCTCGCATCAAGGCTGTCACCCAGAAAGGAGAGACCATGGTGGAAGAAGGTAGAGCAGGTCTGGTCCTGACATGTTTCTGAGGTGTCTGCAGGTTCTGGCTCACTTTTTTTGGGTCCAGGTCACTTCGCTGGTGAGGAAGTGAAGACTAAACTGTGGGAGCTTCATGGACGTTGGGACACGCTGAAGGCCAAGGCGTCCCAGAGGAGGCAGGACCTGGAGGACTCTCTGCAGGCCCAGCAGTACTTTGCGGATGCTAATGAGGCCGAGTCCTGGATGAGGGAGAAGGAGCCCATCGTTGGAAGTCCAGACTAAGGGAAAGACGAGGACTTGGCCGAGGTATGGAAGTCCCTTCCTGAGAAACTCCAATCGCTTTTCTTTGCCCTCTTTCCAGTCCTTCATAATTAGTGTTTCTGTATTTGGCATTTCCTTCGGTTGTCTACCAGACGTCGTTGCTCGTTTAAGCGTCTCATGGGTTAGGGGTAGAAGTGCTGGCCTCGCACAGGAAGTGATGACAAACGTGTTCCCGTCGCTCTTATTTCAAACGGTTTACAAGCTGTGATGTGTGTTCCCGCTGCAGAGCAGCCATGACACGTGGCAGCCGGCAGAAGGCTCACGCTTTTCCACTAAACACCCGCAGAGCTACGTCTGCGGTGAACTGAGCAGGGTTTGTTTTACGGTGGCGGATCCGATTGGACCATCGCTGCGAGAAAGCTCCACTTGTGTCAGACGAGCTGAAGGTTCTGATGTTCTGCTCCACAGGCTCTCCTGAAGAAGCACGAGGCCCTGATGTCGGACCTGTCGGCTTACGGCAGCAGCATCCAGGCCCTGAAGGAGCAGGCCCAGTCCTGCAGGGTGAGTTCAGAACCCTCGGCCCGTCAGAACATTCTTATCCACCACGTTCTAACACCAGACCTGTTAACCCGACAGCAACAAGGTGATCAGCAGGTGCTTTTGTCCTGCAGGACCTGAAGGCCAACGAGTCCCGCCTGAGGGACATCAACAAGGTGGCATCTGAACTGGAGTCAGAAGGTCTGATGGCTGAGGAGGCTCCTATGGTTCAGGCTCAGGTGAGCGTCACCTGTCTGCAGCAGCTGGTCCCTCTCACTTCCTGGTTTAACTCTGCTCGTCTCTGTTTGTAGCAACAAGAACATCTGGGTTCTGCTCCTGGAAAGGTGCGTGTTGTCCTCCGCCTCCACCAGAACCAGACGTGGTGTTTATGTTACCACTCATTTGTTTGTTTACAGGATGAAGCCGACTCTAACACGGCGTCACCCTGGAAGGTGAGTTCATTCAGCTGATCAGAGGTCACCTCTGATGGCAGCAGTCACGGCCGACCGTGCTGACATCACACAGGAATTCAGGTGACCCGGCAGGCACCAGGTGCTGGTGAAAGTGGGGACATGTCAGCTGGTTGCCATGGCTACAGTTATCTTATGCATCTGTATGACTGCTGACTGGTGTGTGTTTCCTGTGACCTTTGACCTCAGACCGTACGGTTGGGCGTTCAGACGACGGCTAACTTTAATTCCATCAAGGTAAGAGGAAGCTCTTCCCTTCCTGTCTGAGCGATCCGTCTCCAGGTTTCTTCGTCCGGCGTCCAGCCCGCTGGCGTCCACCTTCATCTCATCTCACTTCATTTATAGTGCAATACTTTCACAATATCATTTTCCCACACTTCTGTATAACTGTATTTTGTTGTTTTTCAATAAAGAATGACAAATTATTTAAGTTTGGTTTTTGTTGCACACAAATATATATCTGTAAAAAATATCTACAAAGCTAATGTTTACATAACAAGTATGATTGGGTTTTGCAATACGGCACTCAAGTTTATTTTAGTAAGATTTTCAAACCAAGTAAAGTTAGTAAAGAACACATTTCTATTGTCTGCTAAGAAACTGTTGGGATTTAAAATGGGCCTGTTGTACAAATAACTTGTAAATGATTATTCCTCACTTTTGTCTTAACCAAAGAAATTCCAGTAATTGAGCAAAAACATTTATTTTTAACACTACATTTTATAAAACAGGGCGCAAAGTGTCGGCACATGTATGTATGTCGATGGTCCGCCCCAACCAAACCAAGAGACACAGACGTCAGGGAGGCCAAGGTTGTCTCTGCAGCTCTCTGGGCACCACGCCTCACTCAGCTGTCTCCAATGATCCAAATGGCTATGGAGAAAAAATAACAGGTTTGGCCTAGCTGTTTAAAGTACAAAACCATTCATGAAGTGGTCAAGACAAGTACTTGGAACTTACACGCTGCGTTGTGTAGCTGATGTTGGAGACACACAGGCTGCCATGGTGACCTTTTAATAGATCTAAGAAAAAAATGTAATAAAAGAATGAAACTTAAAAACTCCCAGACCTCATGTCATATTTACTCATCAGCTATGGCTGATTTGTTTGGATCACAGTGAGTTACACTAATTCTAATATATTTTTATTTCTATTATACATACATACTTTTTAACTGTTATTTTCACATGACTGTTATCAGGCTCTCTTGTTCTGGTTCTGATGATAACTCTGTGTCTTCCAGTAAGTTATCTTGTGCTTACTTCATCTGTATAATGTCTCTTTACTTTTGGTAAATTGTACTGAGTCCAGAATAAAGGCTAGTTGGCTGTACAAGATACAAACAAGTATTACGTTTTGGAAATATATGAAACACCGCCAGCATCTGTTAGAGCCTGTGGCGGGGTGCTGAGGGCCGGCTCCAGCCCAGGAATGAGCTCTACACGCCGGCCGGGAGGGTTTGAAACACCGCCATCCTCTCCTCTGCTGGCTGTAAATTCTGTTATGGTTACCGGTGCTTGTGTTGCAATGTGAAACGCTTGGTCTCAGATTTTGTAAGAAAGATAATAAAATGTCCCCCCAAAATACGACTTAAATATATTTTCTCTTCTTCATGATACATTTAATGGCTGGTGCGACTCAGGAGTGATAGCGCCAAAAAAAACTACTGAAAACTTGCTCAAAGCAAAATGTTTTCATTACGGAAATAAATTATAAACTTACCGATTTAAAACTTTTTTAATACAGGTACTTCTCACGAACAGGCGCAGAAAACCTCCACCTAAACTCCGTGTAAGGTTCAGGTCGATGGGTGTTCCAGTTAGCTCCGGTTGGGTTGAAGCTAGGTGGCTACATCCGTTAGCTCAGCTCCCACCTCCGCTTTAGCTTTGGGTTAGCCAGGGTTAGCTTCAGGTTAGCTCGTAGCTAGTTCACCTGGGTGTCGTCACTCGAGCCCAGCCTTACAGCCACACCCTCAGCGCCTCCTCTCTTCCCTTTTATGGAATTGTCTGGGCTGGACGGAACCTGTGACACGGTCAAAATGGCGGTGGTGGACACCTCCCATTATGGACAGATAACGTGAAATTGAAGCCTATGGAATCGAATTGTCCAGTATATGTACAGTCTATGATCTATGTTCACGAGCTTTGGGTAGTGACTGAAAGAACGAGATCACGGATACAAGCGGTCCAAATGAGTTTTCTCCGCAGAGTGGCTGGACTCTCCCCTAGAGAGAAGCTCCCCTAGGGTGAGAAGCTCGGTCATCCGGGAGAGGCTCGGAGTAGAGCCGCTGCTCCTCCACATTGAAGGAACCTGTTGAGGTGGCTCGGGCATTTAGTTAGGATGCCTCCTGGGTGACTCCCTGGAGAGGTTTTCCAGGCACGTCCAAACAGAAAGACCCAGGACACCATGGAGGGACTATGTCTCCCAGCTGGCCAGGGAATGCCTTGGGATTCCCCCGGAGAAGCTAGCCCAAGTGGCTGGGAAGAGGGAAGTCTGTGCCTCTCTCCTTATACTGCTGCCCCCGCGACCCCTCCCCGGATAAGTAGATGAAAATTGATAGATGGATAAATTCAACAGATCAATGGGAGCATACAGGGATGTTTTAATCAAAAGTTAAACTTTATTGGCAAAAATTATTAAAATTTTTTACTTTTTCCCCCCCCAGTTGTGAAAGTTGGTCTGGGAAAACTCCTACAAGTGTTAATTACAATAGAAAGTCATAATTAAAAGTTATTTTAATGGTTGCTGAGAGTTTAGATATTATGCTAGAATTATCTATCACTAATTTCACCCCAGAATGTTTGCAAAAGGTCATTTTTAAATAAGTAAATGAATCATTAATGCAACCTAAATCCCAAACCTGATTTGGAGATCTGGACACCTGGAGTGTTGAGAGACTCGTCCTGTTTGGGAACCGTCACGTAGACTTTCAGTGAGGTGGCGTTCCTGCTGTGGCTCAGGTTCAGGAGGCGCTGAGGGAATCTCACAACAGGCTGGGAAAATCCACCTTCAAACAGAACAAACACCCAAAAGGATTATGTAACGTTCCATTTTCTTTAAGTAAACGCCTTGATGATAAAGTAAAGCGTACCAGGAGTTTTCCTAGTGATCAGGACCGAGTCCTCAAAGAGCCAGATGTTCCCTTGGGTCATCCTGAGCAGCCACACAGTCAGCGAGGAAAATACTGCAGAAATCAGAAAGTACAGATTTGTTTTTCTCCACTAGATGGCAGTGTGGTATTTTGATTCTGGAGATTCAAACATGTTTAGAACTTTGAAAGAAGAGAATATTACTGCACAAGTCCAACACAAGTTTTTGTGATTACTTTATTGATACGTTGACATCAGAAGTAATATGAAATTAAAGCTGCAAGCAGCGTCGTTCGGCCATCGCAGCTCAGCGCCGGTCCGGCCTGGCCGGCAGCCCGGTGCACCCGGGCACGTCCGCGAAACAGAAACGTTAACCACCCCGACACCAGAAATCACGAACGGTCTCCTCGTCTGCACCTCACCCTGACTCAGCATCTCCTCTGAGCCCACCAATAAATTACACATCTCACCACTAGGGGATACTCTATATTTACCAACCACACTGGTGGTGTGATGACACAGACCAAGTTTAATGCTATTCTGACCACGTTTTTTGAAGTTATTGACGGTTAAAGTTATATAGGGGGTGCTCTGACGAATTACAGAAAAATCCCATTGAGGCTTTGATTGATAAAGATGGTTTTGTGGTAGTTAGGCATCAATCAGATGTTGCATGTGCTTTCTAGAGCCAGAGAGCCGAAAGGGGCTGAGCTAAAGGGATTTGAACCAACAACCACATCAATGTGTTTGATGCAGTCACGTGATAACACAAGCCAAGTTTAATGCCAAGTTTAATGCCATTCTGACTTAGTCTTTAGAAGTTAATAAAGTTTGAACATATCTAGGGGGTGCTGTGAGCACTTACAACTAAATCACATAGAGGTCATCGTTGGTCATCAAAGACGGTTTTCTGTTAATTTGGCAACAATAAAACATCATCGAGAGACAAAAGGCTGTAAGTGGGCGGAGTTAAAGTGATTTGAATGAGTGAGCACATACATGTGTTGATTACAGTTTCGTGATGACTCCCACCATGTTTGATGTAGTTAGGAGTTTTTTTGTAGAAGTTACAAAGGTTTTATTGTATCTAGGGGATGCTGTCCCAAATTTAGGAAAATATCCCATGGAGCAGTTTGTAGGTTAACAACAATAATTTGTGTGTAGTTTGGTGTGAATTGCATTATGCATGTGTTATTCAGGGCCTAATATCTGTCAGGGGGCAGAGCTAAAGCAATATCAACCAATGACCACAGGATTGTGTTGGGTTTCTTTGTGTGATGACACATGGCAAGTTTGGTGCAGTTGCGACTTCGTCTGTAGGAGTTATTACAGTTTTGAAGGTATGCAGGGGGCGCTGTGGTGATATTATACAACGTTCACCAACCGTTTGTGCCTCATTGGATAAAGGGCATGATTGTTGATTGCCATGTTCGGTCTCGTGCAGATCGGAGGATGTTTGTGGAAGTTACAGTCAAACATAAGGTCACGGCGTCATGCCAGAATCCGCTGTGGCATCAAAGCCCCTCCCTTTCTGAAAAGCTATCTGAACTGAATGGTCATTACAGCATCATAAAGACAGTGCATGACCTTAGTGTCATGTTCACTAAATTAGAGGGGACAATTATAGGCATTTCACCATAAAACAATAGACTTGCTGTTGTCAGGGGGCGGGGCTTAGGTGATGTCAGCTATCCACATTGTTCTTGTCTTGAGATGGGGTCAGTGATCACACGGACAAAGTTTGATATAGATCTGATCATGCACATGGGAAATTTTACATCAAGTAATGTAATGGCGAAAGCTCAAAGTTTGAGGCTTAGCCACGCCCACACCTTTACACTTATTTAAAATCCGACTGTTGAATCCCCCCCCCCCCCCCCATGTCTTAAGAGTATATAGCAGAAGTTTGAAGGTGATCGGTGAAAAGGGCGACGGGGCATCATTCTCCAAACGACGTGTGCAAAAACCACTTAATCGAGTACTTGGACCAAAATGGCCGACCTCCTGTGCGACTTTTTGCTTGGCTCCAAGAGACGTTTTTGTAGGTCCAGAGACACTACATTAGTGTACCAAATTTTGTAATCCTCAGTCAAAGCATGGCTTGGGGCTTACAGTTTTCAAGGTCCTAGGGGGCGCTATTTAAGAAAATAGGCCAGGCCCATCAGATTTTCACATCAGATTTTTTGTGGGGCCGGACTAGGATCATTCACCAGAAGTTTCGTGGCGATATCTTCAGATATGACGCAATGGGAGGCAAACGTATGGCCACAGCCCCACCCTCTTTTGAAAACTCCCACAAAGTGACGCCAAGCAACCCCCACTTGCCTTGAGTTACCAGCTACAAATTTGTGTTAAGTAAAATGGGGCGATTTGGGACCTATCACAGTAAAACTTGAAATTTTTGGTCTTGAGGGGGCTGGGCTTGTGTGATTTCATCATCCAATTCAATTCAATTCAAAGATACTTTATTAATGCCAGAGGAAAATTAGAGTTTCAGTACACACAATTCTGAGATCAGACATACATACATGCATAGACACATGACAAGAACTGGTGACTGTGGTCATTCGCAATCCGAGTTGTGCTACCTTAATTAATAGAGATCAGACGGGTTTATATGAGGATTGAGTCAGGTGGAGGAAAAAAAGGCCCTTCAGAGTTACCCTCCACAGGGAGGGAGGTCCACTAGTTTGGGAGGTAAGATTGGGACTCTCCACACACCAGTGCATGCAGCCGCGATAAGCAGCACTCGTCACCTCCGTTTGGACAGGGGAGGGAGGTAGTTGGGTTTAGAAAGCACAGTGACTCCTGGAAACGATTCGACAGCCTTCACCGGTTGCAGTCCCGCCCAGGCTGGGATAGGGAGACAGAGTTGCCATGGCAACAGCAGCATTCCACATTTCTTCTGAGGGGGAGTACTCACTTCAGCCTCACAGGCTCAAGGGCACCAGATTCAGATAAGAACTTGTTTTGGGGCCAGACAGAGATAATTTCCTCTCTGTCTTAAATTTTCGTTGGTCTCCAACCCCTCTAAATCCAATAATGCCGTAATTAATCTATCCCAATCCGCAGTGGCGGATCTAGGATTTTTCTGAGGGTGGGGCCATCAAGGGGCCACAATATTTATAGAGGGGCCACGTACAGTCCAACATACTTGCATACTATTCCCAGTTTTGTATGGTAGATACAGTTTACCCCAACACCATGTTGAAAAACATCAATGCAATTGTACATCAATTTTTACTGTACATTGACAAAATACAACCACACACAGCATTTGAGAAATTTTAGCATTCAATTTATTTTGCAAAGCCACAAATATCAGGTTAAAATATGTTTGTGTGTGGAAAAAACACCAGAAGAATATCACAGGACCCTCTGCTCTTGACTGGGAAATGTCTGGTGGGAAGTCAATTAAATAAGTCTGAGTCAGTTGCTTATATCTCTCAACCTTTAACATTCATGGCATTCAGAATCTGCAAGTGACTGACTGCAAAATTCAATTAAATTTAAAGAGCCTTTACAAAATGAGAAGCACACCACCAGGTCCTACTGGAACAGAACACCGTTCTGATGTCTGCGCAGGATTCTGTGCATCACACTGGAAGATGTCTGAAAACAGCAAATGAGAAATTATCTAACATAAGCCAAATACATACACAAGCATTTATTACTTTCAAAGATCAATGTTTACCATTTGATCCTGCAGGATTAGCATTGATTGGTGACTCTGGTGGCCCAGCAGGATGGAAGGTTGAGTCATTAACTTCACTCTGGTTGTCTGAATTGGAGAGAGTCTTGTCCCAGTTTGCAGCTAAAATACAAATATATGTCAAACTCCAGCTAAATCCAGCCAAAACTTTGTTTTCTATGAGACCACATTTTTATTTATTTGAAATTGAAGACTTGAAAGATTGGACTATAAAGATGAGATGTGGTAGATGTAGACAAAGAAACCAATACAATTTAAATCCATTATGTTAATGTTATAGTAAACCACATCATCATGAAGCGGAAGAATTCAGTAAACATATGTGCCATTAGTACAAGATAACATCATTTAACAAATTTGAGATAATGGTGATTTTTTTTATTTTTACCTAGAATAATGGCAGGAAAAGTTGGACTAACAAAGGAATATCCAAAACACAAAATCTCTTTGGAAAACTTAACCCTGACCTTACTTAATCAACCAATTAGAAAATTCAGTGTTTCAAACAAGGACTTTTCCCACACATTTTACAATACATCAAAATGTCACAATTTAGGGAAACCTTGAAGGAATTGTGGGAAAGGAAACTTAACTGCAACATTACTGATGATGAATGGAAAGATGCTTTGAGAAACGTAAAATCATTTACTAAAGGGAAGCAACTTTGCCACTAATGATTTGTCACGATTAACAACTTCTATCAATTTAAACAATAATCCTTTATTTTTGGTGCTTGGAATAACTGACCCAATTATTACTGATAAATATTAAAAGCTCAATGCAAATTTTCTGTGCAAGAAAATGACTCCACATTAACTGGATCAGCTCCAAGATAAAATGGGAAAAGGTTATCCTCAATTATAAGCAGAACACAATAGGCAGCATTAGGTCGTTTATAAGTGGTCAGTCCGTCCTGCTGGATAATGTGGTGCAATCATGATCTTTTTACAAAAGATTATGCGATGGCGGTGAAAAGGGAGCTTGGGGGCGGTCTCTGCGCTGCCACGGACTTCAGTTTATCTTGGACATAACTTGCTTTTTATTGCGATCAAAGCCACACTCATTAAGCTTTTTTAACAAGCCGCTCCAGAAGGTGTCTGTCCCCGTGCAGTCTCTGGTGATCTGAGCTTCAACTCTTACGGAGAGGCTCCCCGGCCATCATCTCAGCTGATTCTGTTTAGAAAAGCCAAACTTACGGCCCATGTTTACTTTCATTTTCAATATAGTTGCCGGCCGGAGCTCGGCAGTAACTGCCCACGTGATCATGATACCCCCTTCTGTTGCGCCAAGTTGTAATATGCATTCACAAGTCCGGCGTTGCGGTGATATTAGTATCAACCGTGGCAGCACGAATGCCACAAAATTCCCGCAACACCATGCCGCCACGGCGCGTTTATATTACACGTACGCTGATTTCCCAGCATGGTATGTCCTACAAGAGGCTGTCTCTCGTGTTTATCTGACATGACTGTTGCACAATAAAGATTATATTCTTTCTGACCTGATAAAGGGGGAATGGAGGTCCCTTGCCCTGTTCCAGCCTCTGGTCTACTGCCTCCTGCTGCTCTCTCTCTGATTTCTCCATGCTCGTTTTCACCAGCTGACACACTCACTCTCTTGGGAAAAAACTGCAGAATTCCCGCCTGTATCTGACCCTTTCTTTTCATGTTCTCTATCAGACAGTGCCAACTATTAACACACGAAATGCAGATTACAAAAGAAGTACATGGATTAGCAAGGGCTAACGTTTTTTCACAAGCCCTTTTTAACATTACCTTTAACTAATGTCGGCATTGCTTTCCATTGGACTTATTGTCAGACTTGACTTACATGGCAACTGTGAGTAAACAGTGATTCGTGACTTACCAACAAACTCCTCATAACGTGGACTCTCATCAGATCCGATGTCGGTTGAAAAGTTCTCCCTTCTTGGAATCTTTCAAATCTTCTTCTGTTGGATTTCACACACTATTTTGCTCCTTAGCGCCACACGGCCACTAGTGTTTGGACTCGGAATTGCATCCACCTATAATCTCATCACCGCACAAAGGACAGATAAGTGACAGGACAGGGGCACTACAGGGGCCAATCATATTTCAGCAGGGGCCAGTGCCCCTGTGGCCCCGCCCCTAGAACCGCCAATGCCAATCCGTGCTGATATGTCAACTTTCTCCTCGATCGAATCCACCTTCTGTGCCAGAGTCTAAATCTCAGCCAAAGTTCCAAGCTTACGACTCATCTCGACAATTATATGAGTTTGTGCGTTCACAGCGCGGTGTAATCCATCCCTGAGCTCCAGGATTGAGCCAAAATTCCTTGAAAGCTAATTAATTTTCTGGTAATCCAGGTAACCACTCAGGCCAAAAAGCAAGAAACCTGACACCAACACCACAAATATCCAGACGTCTTCAGAATCCTCTACAGACAGTTGAGAGAGACAGATCAGGTTCCACTGTTTCCAGGAGCCCATGATATGCCCAGCTGGCTCTGTCCCAGAGGGGCATTGGGGAGCCCCTTCTACCATTCTCATCGTTGAAAACATTTTGTCAGTCACGTTGAGAGACCAACTGACCAGGACCATATTTAATAATTTCCAGTTTCCAGAAAAAATGCAGAAGCGCCGTACACCCAAAGACAGACAAAGAGCCTTGGGGATAAGATATGAAGGAGAGGAGGAAAAAAGCGTCTGTACTCTCCAAGAGCTGGAAGAAGAATCTGACCATTCAATTTGGTTTCTGAGTGGATGACGAATGACCACAGAAATTTCTGTAACTATCTTCCATTCGGTTATGAAGTTATAGCCATTTGATTTTTTTTGGCAAGTAGTCGAACTTTGAGGCCTGGCCCCGCCCCCTCAGCATATGCGAAAAGTCAGTTTTATTTTTTCTATTTGATCGCCCATCCCTTCTGAGCAATTTCCCACAAATTTCAAGATGATTGTGCAAAAATTGATCGAGTAACTCAATCAGAAGCGGACCCTAAAAACGGCCAAAACGGATAAAAATCGCCACTTCAACCCAAAATGGCCGACTTCCTTTTCGATGTTGACCATGGTTGCAAGAGGCGTTTCTATGCGGACTGTTAAGTACTACAAGTGTACAAAATTTCATAACTGTACGATAAACTACAGTATATGGAGGGGGGTATTTGTCACATTGTAGGGAGTGCTATTCAGCCATTTGCTTAGTGATTTTTTTTGGGACCTTTAAAATACAACATTTTACACCACACCTGACATGTGTTCAAAAACTCCCGAGTTTTTGGGTATGTTAAGGCCTCCAAAAAGCCAATTTACTTGGCGGAAGAATAATTATTAACAGAGCAAAAACAAGAGGCCTTTGCAGTGCCTTCGCTGCTCGGGCCTACTTAGGCTGAAATCTCCTAATTTGGTTGCACAATCTGCACACACCATTACCAAACTTACTTGGTGTTCTGTTGGCTTTGCAGGACATCAGAGTGGAAATGTAACCCGCCCTGCTGGCTGCCACAGTGAGAGGCAGCCTTGAGGGGTACGGTGCACGGAGCCAAGCCCCGCCATCTTCTGCGCTCACAGCTGAGGAGTTCATGGTGTGGTTTATGAAAAGCTCCACCAGCGCCTGGCTCAAGGGCAGGCCACTCAGCATGTCCGCCACCTGAACCCGCAGATTAAATGTTGACCCTAAAAAGAAAATTCAAAATATTTAAACCTCACAACATAGTTACATCTAGCAAGAAAACAATGCATGTTAAGGTTTGCAGGTCAGCGTTTCTGCCTTTATGCAGTGTGAGAATAAACTTCTTTCCAATTTTATCCTGATAGGACCTTAGAAATGACACAACAGGAAAAGTAAAGCGTGGAATCCCTCGAGGATATCAGTCAATTAATCACAGCGGATCAGAAAGGGGTCAGCGTGAATTCCAAAGATAAGGATGCTGCAGGAACCTCTTTCCAGTAAATGATTTCATAATCATTACATATGTTCAGAATCCCTCTGAGGGCCCAACAATGATTATGTAAAATCTCATTAGCCACTCACACTGCGCACCAGTGGTCAGTAATGAGCTCATGACAGCAGTCTTTGCATCGGCGAGGTGTTGCATAACAATGAAAGGAAGCTCGGTAATCTATCACAGTTCGCCTGAGTGAACTAAGCCATGAGGGAGGGATGGCATGGTCACTGAAGGCTCAAGCTGGAATCAGCAATATTCTTATTCACACTCAGCTGATTCAGTTCCACACATACAGTTTCAGTCACATCAGCTCAAAGTTTAAAGCAGAAAAAGCTGCTATGAGAGCTGTACTAAAGCAACAAATGATCCTTTTCCCCTCCTTCAGCTCATCCTGAGGGATTTCCAGAGGTTTCCTTGCCAACTGGGAAAAATAATCTTACCAGTGAGTCCTGAGTTTGGCTCCTCCCAGTGGGACACACCTGAAACTCCAGACGTCTGGTAGTCTGGCCAGCCATCCAATATATGTGAATATATAGTCTGGCCACAACCCACGGAGGGGCGGGATCTATGGTTGTCTCTCAAACTGTCTCCACATGCTATTTGACAAGGAACAACATGACGTACTGACATCTGTGAGTCAGTCAACGGGACAGTCTGTCATACGCTGTTAGGGAAGATGCAAATGCATCCTTTTTCTGAATAACGGACTTAAGTAGCTGTGCTTTTGACTCAAAGGAAAGCCTGAGTCCAAATAGTCCAGGATGCAATATTTAAACTACTTTTTACAATGTCTAATCCCTAGACTTTGTTAAAATATAAACAACCTAACAGTTTACCTCATTTCAGTAAAAATAAGTTACATCCATGCCAAAGCTGTACACCAGCTCAGTTGTTCCAGTCAGCGGCAGTAACATCCTGCCCACTAAACCAATCGCTGAGCGTTCTGATTGGCATAGCACAAGACTGGTCAGGGGTCTCATTTATCAAACATTGCGTAGAATCCTTACTAAAACCGTACTTGAGCTGAGCAAAAAAAATTACTTACGCCAAGTAGGTTTGTGATCTATCAAACATGGAGTACGCACAGCTGCACGCAATCTCCGCTTCATAAATCAGAAACTATCTAGAAAGGGTCTCAGCTGCTTTTTAGTCACACCCCACCCTCACCACGCCCACTTACTGCCATGAATAGTCAATGCAAAGTGCCTTGTGGATCTCATGCATATACATAAGCCAGCTGTTGCAGCGCTCCGCCAATGACATGGCGACCGTAGATCAAGGCAGATCAAGGAAGCGCGATGTCACAGAAGCAGAAATTCAGGTACCTGTGGGTGAGGTGGAGAAAGGAAAGGAAGTGCTTTTGCAAAACAAATAGGAGAAAATCCATGGAGTGGCACAGAGTTGCTAAAGCCATCAATGTTGTGAATTATTCAGAGAGATCTGTAGCGAATAAAAAAAAGGTCCAATCGGGATTCTAACCCCAGACTCCCAGGTGTAAGTCATGCAAATGGAGATCTCCCTTGTCCAAGTAGCCAGGGTGCATGATCAATCGGGTCACAGTGACAGGACGCTTACATTGTCACAGACGCATGACATTCTGTCTCAATCTGTCCACCTGCTGATATTCTGCATTCCGTATTCTGCGCCTCAGGCTGTGTGTGTGTGTGTGTGTGTGTGTGTGTGTGTGTGTGCGCATGTATGTGTGAGTGTGTGTGTGTGTGTGTGTGCATGTGGGGGGTCTTTTTCTGTGTGAAAACGAAGCGGTACAAGTGATAATGCTGCAGGATTTCATATTTTATCCTTCTCAGTAGCAGCACTGCAGGTGCGCTCCATGTCCAAAATGTGCGTAAGCCAGGTCCTTAGTCAACTTAAAGTTACGCACATTTTTCCGCTAAGTTTTCTTTCATAAATCCCAAAGTTTGCATGGAAAGTTGTTTACGTAGTTTTCTGACCTCATTTTGTGCGTAAGCAAGCTTGATAAATGAGGCCTCAGGTCTGCTGAGGCTCTAATGGAGCGTGACGAGACCAACAGGCAGAGCATTTTGCTTCTGTAACAGTTTGTCCAGATTTAAAGGCTAAATGTCTGGACCACCATGACTGGCTCTGAGCTACACTAGTTTCAGACTCGTGCATTCATAATCTCATTTTTTTCTGTCATCATCACTCAAAAGACAATGCCATCAGTGAGGGTCAAAACATGGACCTCCAACAGGTTTTCAATGAGATACTCCAACTCCTTCACCTGAAGCAGAGGCACATCCCAACACAGAGTTGGCTATCCAGTCTTTCCTCGTTGAGGACCATGGCCTGGGACTTGGAACAGCAGATCTTAATCCTAACATCTTCAAACTGATTCCAGGTCTGATGAGGTCAACATAACAGAAACACCCATAACAAGCAGAGTGGTCTGAACTTCTAAAGCTTCTTGAACAAAAGAACTTCCGCCACTTGGCTGCATCTAGAAATTCAGTCAATAAACTTTATGAGGCCTCAAAAAAGAATTTTAGGGCAGTTTTACACTTTAAACACTCTAAACACCATCTAAGTATTTATAGTTCAGTTTAGCTCAGCTGCAAAACAACTCTTCCACCCAGAACGTGTTTTCTCTCTCTGATAGAAACCTTCTTAGACTACATTCACACATCCAAACACACACATTTCATTTTAGTTTTCATCCAGACACAGGTTGCTTTAATACCAAGTTTTAATATCAAAGTTTTATAAAGTGTCATTTATGAATTGTTTTTTAAATTGTCATCTTTAAATTGTTAGTAATAAATTCTTAACTTTTTAAACCTGACTCTTCTTTGAATTTAAACACAGAGTGGTGTATATTTGGTTATTGAACGAGCAAAGATTTCTTTAAATCTTCTGATTTAATAAATAAACTTTTGCTATTAATTTAAATCTCTTAAATTAAATATTAATCTTTGGATTAAATATAGACCAAGCCAGTTGGTGCATGAACTTCTATCGATTATGTAAATATCCATGGATATCTATGTAAATATAAGCCAAATTGTTTGATCTCTCTCAGGATTTAGCAAAGCTGCATAGCAAACAGCGTTAAATCCTAGTTGTGTAGATAAACTATGCTACATAAAATGGCGGGCCAACCAGTCTTATTCAGATCAAAACACGCTATTTTGTGTTTCATCTTCAATAATTTGTAAAACGGGGAGCTGTGTCTCTTTCATTTTCGTCCTCCGGAACTTCCGGGACGGAAGCTTTTTACTGTAACACCGGCTTCCGGCATAAACTTCCGGTACTACGACGGTAAAAATCAGCCGAGTCTGTAAGAAGTGTTTCAAATCACATCCTAATTGCTAAAAAACGTAAGTGAGTGTGTGTTTATACGTTTATTCGTCACCTTGTCTGTATACATTGTGTCACTCCTGAGTCAGAGAAACTCGTTTCTCTCTCTACACGTTAGCACAAAGCTAATCGCTAGACAGCCTGATCAACTGAAATAGCACCTTTTTCCGGTGAAATTACCTGGACTTTTCCGAGCTTTTCGGAACATCCAGACTTTGGTCTGAAGAGTGGTCATGATCAAACTGACACATCACTCAATGTGTGCACTTTAACCCGCTATGCTTAGTGACTAGCACAGTAGATTATCTACGCTACAATTACTATCAAAAGGCATCAGAAGCTATCAGTGTGTCTACTTCACCCGTTCTCAGAGACCCTCTTCATGGATCCGAAGGTCAGAGAGGTCGGATGACCTCTGGCACTGAGGATTGTAGAATACCGTGGCACCGACTCTTCAGTCCAGAGATGTCTCGGGTCATGACAGATGGATGGAACCGCGCGTCTGGGACTCTTAAGGAGTCGGAACAATATCAGCTTTTTCTGCAGGAAATGTTTGCTGTATCAGCTTTGCAGGTGCAAAAAGATTTTGACGACGTGTCAAAAGCTTTGATGGGTTAGAGAGGTTTTGCTTCAGATGGCCAGTCTGAAGCTTTCTCAAGAACTGATGAATCACCAGAGTGTTCCGGTTTTAATGTTCTCATGTTATGATTTATGTAGCAAACCAGAGGTTGACAAGTTGAGGAATATTACCAAGACAACCTCAGAAACACGCCTTCCTTGATACCGGATGCTCTGATCTGGGGTAACGGGCTATCTATGTGTCACGCGCTTGACTTAACTTTACTTTGTCCTTGTGTGAGTGCAAATGAAGATGACCTTGTCATATAAACATGCTGAAACATATATCAATCAATGTAATCATAACATAACATTCATTTCAAACTTCAATCACTCAAGCACAGATTAATGAAAGCATTTCATTAATAATTATATTATAATTATTATAAGTAGCAATAAACAGACGTTTGTTTAATGGTTATCTAACTTATAAGTTTTAAAAGTTCATATTTAATTTAAGAAATCATTCTTTGATTTAGCAACTAATCCAAGCTGCGAGTGTTCCTTATTCAGAGGCATGAAGAATCCTGTAGGACGATAAGGGAAGCTTGGGCCTTGAGGAGAGAACATCATTGTTGACAATATGTTATCATGTGTTCAGAGCTGCAGAGAGGCTCTGAGCTTCAGCTGGTGGGATGAGGGCAGACAGATTAAAGGGAACACATGCACTCTCGTGTCTCCATTTTGACCAGATGTTGAATGGTCAAACAGTACCTAAAAACTAGGGATGAGCCGAGTATCCGGTACGGATAAAGTATTTTAGACGAATACGAGCATGAGACGAGTAAACCTCGG